TATACCCATTCCCTCCGTCACGAGCAAGCTAATCACAAAGAGTCACACGGTTTTCAAAACGACCCCCCCCCCCCCCCCCGTTGTTCCTTCTGTCAGTGGGGATAAAATAAAATGCTGCTTTCTCACAACAGAAACAGACAAACTTCTTTTAACCTCCAAGAGCAGAGGACAATTTTGTTCAAGCGGCCTTTTTCATTGTAATTTTTTTTAAGAACCAAGTCTTATGGGAAACTGTTTGTGTCTTTCAAACAATGAAGTTGGAGAAAATAATTAGATGGTAAACTTTTCCTTAATTTGACAAAGCCTATATTATGTGTATGGAACAAAGAGGTCCCTTTAAATATTTATGCTTCTTAAAGCCCAGTAATTGATGACTTCTTAATATTTGCTCACAAAAGTACATACGATTTTTATTTGTCCTCAGCTGCTTTGTCAGGGACAGCACAATGTAAAAGAACTAAACAGAACGCACCATTTTGCTTTGCTGTTAGCAGAACTGACACTGACCGAGTACATTTAAGACCAAAACCATGGCGTTCTATCTCATCCTCAACTACAACTCGTGGGTTTCCCAGATTTGTTGTCCAAATGTTACCAGCTTTGGCATCCAAGCACAAATAAACAATACACAAAGACAAAATACAAAGTTCAGTGGCTTATTTCACCTCCGATCCCCTGACACGAGTTGTCTTTTCATGAGGCAGAGTTTGCTCCTGGCAACAAGAAACACATTCTGCATGCCAGTGACTGAGTGGTTTTCATAAAACAACAGAATTTCAGCTCTGGACATGAGGTGGGACTGATCAGTCAAAGGAGAGCTGCACTGATCTGTAACGTCACCACAATATTAATTATGTGACACATAATTAGTTTATGTGATCCACAGAAACAGTGTCTGAAAAGCTCCAACCACTGCACTCCTAATGGAACATTAATAACGGTGTAATTTCACACAGAGACTTGGTGTTTTATGAATCCATTAAATAAAAGAAAGAGGATTCCCATGCTGTATTAAGAAGAATAATGAATGAATAAAAGTAGAAAAGTATCCAGATATTGTGCAACAAGTTGACCTTAATTATTCAGAGGTTTTTATTTGCTGAACTCTGCATGTTTATAACCCAAGACATCCCCCATACTTTACCTGGAAACTAAAACTAAACAGGTCTCACTTGTAAATGAGTCCTCGAGGCTCAATGTGATTTATCTGTATAAATGAAGGTTGAATGAATGAAAAAGTTGCTCCTGCTATCTGTACTGCAAATAGTCATAAAAATAATGTATTTAAAAATGTGTGATGTGAAACAGGCATCAATGTAAAGTTAAAAAAAAAAAAAAAACATTCACATAAACTTCTATAGAGTTTTGAAAACTATGATTGTTTTAAAAATGGCATGTACTACGATACTTTGGTTATATCACTCGAGCTAGTCATTAGCTCGTCAGAATTAAACTATTTATCCACACTGAGGTCATACAAAGTGTTATCTTCAACAGGTAAGATGCAGATACTTAACCTTTGCACAGAACCCCACTTAAAAAAAACTTTTTTTTTTGTTCTAGTGTGTTTTTGCGGTTCGACTTCTCACTCTGTCTCATATTCTTCTTGCTGCTCTCTCACCACGAGTTCTCGTCCTAAGCTCATCGACTCCATCACTCCAACACAGACTGTCCTTTTCTTCTGCACATTTTTTTGTCTTTTCTCTGTCACTGTTTAATGGGGTTCCCCCAGCTATTCTTGCTTCTCCGCACACTCTACCTTATCTGCTGGCACAGCACAGGGAAAGGCGGTTGGTGGAACAAAAGAAGACCCTAATGAGTAGTGGAGGTGATTAAGGAATGAATGGACCCTGCCACTGGAACCCTTACCACACTGTCCATGTGTCCTAGCTCAGTCTGTAATGTGCAGATAGACACAATGCCTTGCATTTTTTCCTACTCCTGCCACTTGCCTTTAATTGCACCGACTGGTCCCAAAGCTGCCCAACTTGAGATAAAGCTTACACATTCATGTATTAATCACTGCCAGTCAGGACGGGCCTTTCCACCCGCGCTTCACCTGCCTCAAGACCTCAATTCAAGGCGCCCTATAAATATCCTGCAGGAAAATGGAGCTAAT